GCCAGCTTAGAGTCTCTTCAAGGTGGGAAAATGGAAGGAGTTAGGGATATTCACATCATGCTTACACCCCAGGATATACAAAGTTTCCAGAACTGTGCCCCTTGTATGCCCAGTCCATCAGTGGGCATGTCCTCAATTGGTCCCCATCAAAAAGGTTCAGTCACCCACAAAGGCAGGAAGAGACTTGTCCCAGATACTTATTAGCACAGAAAAAGCCAGGTGATGGAACCCTGGTTTGATTTCCTGGGCTATAGCCAGGAGAATACATCAAGCAGAGGAAACTTGCCATGACCAGAGTGGCTGAAGGGTTTATGGAGTGAGAAATGATGGTGGGAGAAACAAGAGGCATGTTTCTTGTTTCACTTGGGGCCCTGCCTCATCCACAAAAAGAGGCAAGTTAGACCTGGCCATAGTGATCTACAACAGAGTTCCCAACAAAAACTAGTACTTTACAGAGTGGCCACTGTGGAAAGAAGAAACACTGATTAGTCCCAGTGTACAGCAGGAAATCGATGACTTACCCAAGGCCTTGCTAGACAGCCATTCTGTGTGTGCAGTACATGCCCCCATGTGCATGAACTTGGTCATAGTTGCCATAACCACGTGGCAGGCCCAGTCTCCAGGCCCCACTCACTCCACTCCTACCTTATCCCCCCTAAACACTGTCAGCATCCAAATGCCAGTCTGGTTTGGTAAATACTCTCTAAGCCTAGCTATGTACAGAGTATGGTTGTAACTGTTAACCATGTTTTTCATATCAAAGTCTTAAAGGTTTAAAGAGGGAGTTTTATGTTCCTTTAGAACAAAAACAGCTTGAGAACTGTTATCTGGACACTGAAACAGTGGACTAGAGTGCCCTTTACTGTACCTTTCAATTGTAACTCCTTTGATTACCATTTGCCATGTGCTTTCTCATAAATTTGCTTCTTATATATATATTATTCTCTTTTTATTTTCAGCATATTGGTTCTGGATCTTTCTTTGTTTAACCTGTTTTGCTTTGTAGAGGACTTTTATCCACGTTATCACAGTAGCACCTTATATAACCCAGACAGGTCATTACTATTCTTATCTTCATTTTTCAGAAGAGGAAACCAGGGTTTAGACTTAGTGACTTGAACAAGGTCACTCTGGCTGAGCTGCACATTTATCCAACACATATTTATTGCTGCTATGTGCCTGGTGATGAACCAGTCTGGGAAATGTGCTGGCAGGCAGAGCAGACTTGAAGAGATAGTTTCTCACCTCATTCACTGACTGCACCATCATTGAGGTCTAGCCAGGATCCAGGATTACTGCCTCCACACGAGGCGCTTTCCACTGCAGATCCCTCTGGTTAAGGCTATGGATCTGGACCATTACAGTCTGTGAACCATCCACCTGGAACATCACGGTAAAGCAAGCCAAGGTGTAGGTTTCTGCAGACTAGACTTAAGAAATGACAAAAGAGGTTTGTAGTAATGTCTTAATTATTGACAAGAAGGTGAGGAAGGGCATCTTAGCAAAGGACCATCTGCTCCCTCTCCCCAGGGGGAATTCATCCAAAAGCTGCTGTGCCTAAGATCCTGGACTGACTTCTGCTGCCTCCAAATATTTGATTACAGTCTGTACAGGTGTGGAGCCCTATGGCCATGTGCTGAGCTGGGGACCCTCTCTGCTTTCTTTAATATTAAATGAAAGAAAGGCAGGTCCTAAGATAGCAAGTCTAGAAAGAATTCTGGCCCCCAGTTCTCTCACTTTCCTTGAGTGGGAGCCAAACCTAGATAGGAAGGGACTTATTGAGAATGACATACTGAGAGATTCCCTTCCTCCTTTTACCAGCCCGATTTTATTTCCCTAGTCATTCCTGGTAGGGAACCTTCCTTTCCCAGCCCTACATCTTCAACTTAAAAGCCTTCCTATGCCTGAAGGCTGAGTTTTTCACACACACACCAGAATCCAACTCAGGACACTGGGCTTGCCAAGCAGGCAGCACCACTGAACCACTGGGCTACATCCCTGGCCCCATGTCTTCAGACTTACTGATATTCCCCACCCCCACCCCAGAGCTATGCAGTGTCCAGGCTACCTCTTTTGATCCTCAAAGACTTTTCAGATCTGGCTGTCTGAGTCCTGATTCCTAGGAGTCTGATTCTTGAGATCTGGTGGTAGGTATCTATGTACATTTTTACATTTTTATATGTAAAAATCAAATTTTTTATTAAAAGTAATACATAATGTGTGGTTTAAAAATTCAAACTTATTTATGATGCTGGCTATTGAACCCAGGGCTTTGTATGTACTAAGCAAAGTTTGAAAAAGAAGATGACCAATAAAAAAATTAATGTCTCCTGGGCTGGGGATTTAGCTCAGTGGTGCTGCCGCCTGCCTCATAAGCCCAAGGTCCCGAGTTCAGTCCTTGGTACCAAAAAAAAATCTCTCTTAACCTGGACACCTGTGACCAGATATTTCTTTCCACAAGTTCTCTGCTGCACAGGCAACTATTTCAGAAGCATCCCTTTTTATTACACAAGCAGTGGTACCCCCTGTATCTGTTACTGTGTCCTTGTCTTTATTACAAAGTCTATCTGTTGTAGCTTACTCTCTGTTGGCACACACACATCCATGGCCTCATTTTTTCATGAGCATGTGGCTTTCCATTGATAGACCATCACTTGTTTGTCAAGTCCTCTCACCAGGGAAACAGTACTGCAGTGAGTGCCTTCTTCACATGTCTGCATGCATGTTTGCATGTGTGGCCACAAGAGCCCTTCCTTCCAGCAAATGAAAATGCTGTTTCTGAGAGTCTGCACTTTTAAAATCTTGTCAGAAATTTTCCCCCACTAAGTTTACTGGTACATTTAAAGCAAACAATACAGTTACATTTATCATTAGGATCTTGTACCTTGACCTTGTCAGATATTTTTGAATTGCCTTCTTTTCTATTCTGAACATGTATATATTTTTAAAAACATTCCAATTGTACCCCCCAGATTTAGTTTCATGAACTAGAGTAAGAATCACTATTGTAATCCAACCCGTGGTTTTACAGATGGAGCAAGGTCTAGAGAGGGAAGAAAGTGGTCAGTGTCACTCCTTTCCCTACATACTAAGGTGCAGGTGGAAAGAAGTGAGCCATGAAGGAAAGAAATGGGCTAGAGCAGTGGCAGGAGGAAAGCCCACATTGAGGGTGAGGGAATTATGTTCTGGATTGCTGGGGATGTCTCTGGGACTTGGACTTCAGGGAAAGGCCTTCACCTGTCTGTCCATCATGAGCCTCTGTAGTGTGCCGCACCTGCTTGGCAGCAGCTGGGCCAGTCCAATAAGAGAGCTCACTCAGACATTTACTCAGCTTCTTCCTGTACTGACTTGGTCACTGTGCCCCTGCCATCTCTGCACCTCAGGTTTTCTTATCTGAATGGTCAGGAGACTCATACCTTCCTTTCTCTTGTCCCTGGGCTAATGGGAAGGTTTGGTAAGCCAGCCAATGGAAATATAGTAAAACTGATTACAGTGGCTCCAGCTAGGTACTATTTGGGCACCTTGTCAGGTAAGGGTCTGAAATTTGGTCCTATCCTATGTGGGCTGCTGTCACGATGGCCTGATGAGACCTTGGGCTGGGAATTTCAGTGCAACTGTTGGTGGATACCTGCTGTCGATGTGCCTAGGCATGGTTATAGGGTCGTGCTTAGTAGCTTCCTGAATTTGCTCTGCCTCAGGACCTGGCAGATGAGGCAGAAGCAGTCAGGGAGTCCAGGAAGGTGTCTGCACTGCCACCAGTTTTGCTTCCTTGCACAGGCCAACAGGCTTGCCCCTTGGGTTAGGGGATAGGTCATCTTGCAGCTTCTTTTCATCCCAGCAGCAAGGTGACCCGTTTGAGGAAGAGGAAGTCTGATACTTGAGTAACTAGTGTAGTTTAGTGGGAAACGGTGTGGTATGAGCCTGCAATCTTTTTGAGATTAGAAAGCAGGGTTTAGCTCTCACAGTTCTTGGCACTCACTACCTTCCCCCACGTTGTCCCAGGCTTTAGTGCTTTAGTTTCACTTTGGGGTTACAAACCAGAGTGAAAGAAAACAGCATAGCAGGAAGCAGCTACTTCAGACCAGTTCAGGGTTGGGGAATGTTGTAGGACCCAAGCTAAGCAGGCCTCTTCTTTACCCACTTCCACCCTTGTTCTGGAGGCCTGGCCAGGCTAGGTGGGGCCCTATGAGAGGTGCCAGGCTGCTGACTGGCAGTGCTGTCCTGGCCAGGCCATCTGGGAGCAGGCCAGTAGGGCAGGTTCCCTGGATGAAATCAGCCTCCCCGGGTGTGGTGCAGCCCTGAGCTGGGGGTTGGAAGTTACTGCCTTTTAAACTCCTATTCCAGGGACGAGACAGGGCCGGATCTTGGCTGGCCTTGATTTAGAAAAGAAACCATGGTCTATTGAATCCAGCTTTCTAAGAGCAGTTCACTCTCCCTGAAGGTAAAAGCATGCACACCCATCTCCATTGTGAAAACTCTTGACCTTGGGTAACCACCATTGGCACCTACCCCAACCCATAGCAGTTTCTTCTCAGGGCCTAGCCAGCCTCAAAGCCTTTTTGCCCTGGTCCCATTCCTGGTCTCAGGACAAGAAATAGTGGAGCAGGAACCCTAGCTTCTCATGTCTTTGTGTCTCTGAGTTGATAGGTAGCTTCAGGCAGGATCTTCCCTGCTGTGGCTTTCAGAGTCTGTATTAGTGAGTACAATTCTTTCCAGCTCTGCTCCTCAGTTGAATTGATTTTGTTTCCTGGAAGCTGGTGAGAATCTCACAACCCTGGCTTTGGTCTGGTGTCAGCTTTTGTATTTCAAAGATTAGTGATTTAGCTCAGTGGTGCTGCGCCTGCCTTGCAAGTGTAAGGTCCTGAGTTGGATCCCCAGTACAAAAAAAAAAATTTTTTTTGTTATCTAAGCAAGCCAGGGTCTCAACTTCCTCTTCTATGTGCTTTTTTCTAAGAAAATGGTCAGACTTGCCAAAGAAGGTAGGGAATCAATTTGGTTGCTTCAACAAATAAGATTTTTATGTACTTTACTTTCTTTATACAATCACAAGGTCTCTAAGCACAGGTCTGGTGTCTACTCCCTGAGTTACCTGGTGAGTACATAGTAGGTGATCAGGAAGCCTTTTGTTGGAAGGCTGAATTGGTAATTCACCCTGGCTGTGTTATTCTTTTGGCCTGCAGAAATAGAAATAATTCTATTAAGCCCACTTGGTTATACAGCTGAGCTGGGCCCAGTAAGAAGCCCATACCCCAAAAATCATATGGACCCTTAGTTAAGAACATAACTAGACTGATGGGGTTTAGATCCTGCCCTGTCACTGAGAGCCATGAGCCTTTGCTTAACCTCTTGTCTCATTTTCCTCACTTGCAAATAGTGATGACAGTACTGCCTGACTGTAGTCTCAGCCTGAGGGCAAGAGGAAGATTGTGTAAAAGCAGGAAGCATAGTGCCTCGTGGAGGGAGGGAACCCTGTATGAAAGAGTGCTGCTGTCACTGACTTCCAGGGTGAGAGAAGACTTAGCCTAGCTGGACTGCCATGTACCCAGCCTGGAAAGATGGGCTGGGTACGCCAGGTGGAAGGTTCTGATGAGGAGTGTACAGTGAGTGACTTGAGGCAGGCTTTAAGGAGGAGGGACCTTCAGGACCTCTAAACTGAGTAGGCTCAGGTAGTTGAAGGTTTGTTTTGTTTTTGTACCAGGAATCGAACTCAGGACCTTGCACTTGAGAGACAGGTGGCAGAACCACTGAGCTAAATCCCCGCTTGAAGTTTTTGAGGGGAGGCAAGGACAGGTTGTTCATGAGTTAGGACAGCCAAGATCAGCTAGAGAGGTCTGTCCAGGGCTTGAATCTGCTGGACACCCAGAGCTATAGTTCATTTTTGCAGGGTTTTCACTACATCTGGATGGTTTTCTCCTGGAGGAGCTTGTTAATTGAATATGCTGTGAATAGATTTGATAACTTCAGACTTTGCTGAAACTTTCTTGCGTCCCAAGCTTCCCACGCTTGATGATGTGGCTGTTATCCTGCATATGGGTGTGGTAGCAGTCAGAAGGTGTCTGTTGCCTACAGCAGGTACAGGCTGGGGTGGAGGGTGCTTGTCTATGCCCAGTAGAGGTGCAGCTGCCACCACTGCTGCCGCCTCAGCAGCCTTTTCAAAGAGTGCATATGACAGTGTGTGGGAACAGTCTATGAGAGGATCGGGGTTCCTCAGACCTGGATTTTCCCTCTCCCCCATTTCACCTCCACTTCTCTTACCAAACAGCCAATCGTGTACCTTCAGTGCCAGGGGCCATGTTGGGAGCCAGGGAGAGAACGGAGAACACAATTGATCCATCCAGCTTAGAGTCTGGTTGCACTAGGTAACAAGTAAACAAGATATATATTATCTGATTGCAATAAGAGTCTCAGAGGGCCAGTGGTTTAGCTCAGTGGTGTCACCGCCTGCCTCACAAGTGCAAGGTCCTGAGTTTGATCCCCAGTACTAAAAAAAAAAAAAAGTCTTAAGGAAACTAGTAGGTTCTTCAAGGGATCTCATCAGAGAAGCTGGGGAGAAAACCTCAGGAAAGGTGACTTGAGGATTGATGGGCCAGTTAGGCCCCTGAGGTACCTCAGGTGAGAAATAGCAAGTCCCTGAGGTGAGAATATTTGTGTATTGCAGAAACAAGGAGAGGTACTGGTTATATCTGCATGGGTCAGTAAGCCAGTTAGGTCTGAGGCAGACAGGCTCCCCTGTGGGAGCCAAGTGCATTGATGTGATAAGAGGTTAATAGTAACAGGGCATGGTGGTGCACAACTGTAATTCTAGCACTCTGGGAAGCAGAGGCAGGAGGATGGCAAATTTAGTTTGTGCTTGGGGAACTTACACCCTGTGTATAAATAAGCAAGCAAGCTGGATCAGGAGTTCAGTGGGAAAGCCCTGGGTTCAATCCCCAGTACCACCATCCCCTAAAAGAAAAGATGTGATACTGAAATTCTGCAAGTGATTTTATTTTACAGTTAATATCAGTACTTCCAAATACTGATTACTGGTTTTTGTATGCTCATTAGGTAAAGTTTCTTGAGTATTTTCTCCTTGTTGCTCTACTTCTTTTCACATACTTCATAGTTCATAGAGCCTCATTGCTGAGGGAGGCATGTTGGATTTATTACTGTTTTTAGAGATGATAAAATAGAGAAGTAAACTGACCTCCCCAAAGTCACACAGCTCATTTAAGATTTGCAGTTCTGGTTCACTGTTCTTTCTGTTCTACCACATTGCCTCTGTTTAAGAAGAGCAAAGCAGAAGTTACTGTTTTTTCTTAGAAAGGTTACCATTCCAAAATGGTTGCCATTAAAAAATTTTGGCATAAGGAGCTGGGGATTTAACTCAGTGGCACCACCTCCTGCCTTGCAATCACAACGTCCCGAGTTTGGCATAAGATTAATTGCATTAGGGCAATAGGATTAAAATAACTTTTCTGTCTTGTATATCATAAACAAATTTATAGTACATTCCTTTCCTTTTATTTTGAAGTTTTAGGATATTTTAGTAAAATACACATAACCGTGCAGGTCAATGGCATTAAGTGTATTCTCATTGTTTAGCAACCGTCACCATCTATCTCTAGAACTTTTCATCATCCCAGCAAAAACTGTACAATTAAACATTTAACTCTCCATTCCCTACTCCTCTAGCCCCTGAAAGCTCTGTAAATGTGACTACTTTGAGCACCTTATTCACTAGCCCACTTTAAGAATGTATATTTAAAAAGGGGTAGTTGGAGGTCTCTGAATAGTGGACTCTTGTAGTGATTAATTTTCCAAGTTAATGCACACTGCAAAGCTAAGCCTATTCCAGCAGAGCTGTTAAAGGACTGATTGACTCCTGAGTGGGCGTCCTACACAGAGGCAGCCTTGCCTCCAAAGTCCACTGTGGCTGTGAGGGGTTTGGCTACAACCCCTCTAAGGAAGCAGGAATTAGATTGAGGAGGGCCGTGGCTTTAACCATATGCCCCAGTGTAATTCCTCCATTAGCCACTAACTTGCTCCAGTGCCACTCAGTATTTACTTGCAAGCCCTTCTACCTCTGAGCTTCCTCTCTGGGAAATGAGACAGTACTTTCTAGAGTGAGACAGATAATAAACTTCTTTTGCAACCTTGAGAATCCTAAGTCAGTGTTCGGATAATGGTTAAATGCAAGGAAGCTAAAGCTTCTAATTGTTACTTTTCTTTTAGTTTTATTTTATTGGTACTGGGGATTGAACTCGGGACTTTGTGCTTGCGGGACAGGTGGCAGAACCACTGAGCTAAATCCCCAGCTACAGTTGTCATTTAATAGAAGTAGAAACTCAGAAGTTGATTTTCCCAAGGTCACACAGACCTATACTTTGTTAGAGTATAAAAGGTTAACTAGGGAAATTGAAACCCAGCCACCCTCACTCTAAGTTGTAGCTCTTTGAGGGTCCTTGTTGGTTAGTCTTTCCAAAGATGGTGGACTTGGGGAGCACTTGGTTGCTTTTCCATCTTACTGGATTTAAGACATTGTATGAGAAGCTCCAGTGTTGACAAGCCTTCAGGAGAGAAGGGAAGAGGAGTAAAGGTTAGGGTAGGGAAACAAGAATGATGATTCTGCATCATAAGAATAGAGCCCTGGGCAAGTGATTTTAGCTCAGTGGCACTGTGCCCAGTACCATAAAAAGAGTCGTGAGCCAGGTGTGGTGGTTCATGTCTGTAATCCCAGCACTCAGGAGGCTGAGGCAGGATTGCCTTGCTAGCCTGAATTACATAGCGATACCTTGTCTCAAAAACAAACAAACAAAAAAAAACCCCACTAGAGTCCTGAAGTATTTCCATGGTGATCATCTTCCTCGGGGACAGCAGATACCTTGCAGTAACTCTTCATATGGAACCCATGGCAGACAGCATCAGTCAATCACAGCACTCCCACTCAGTCTTAATACAAGCAGGCAATACTAATCAACCAGAAGTAGCATGCCCAATGGAACCTGTACCATCCCAGCCTAGTGCAGTCCCCTACTTTTTCAGATGGGTGGCAGCCCTAGGAGGGAAAGAAACTGTTCAAGACTGTAGTGATGTCATAGTCCTCTTTGTGAGAGTAGCAAAGGGTGTCTTAGGACAGCCTGATGCCTGAGCAAGTGTATTAGCAAAAACATCAGGGCAGATACCCCCTAGAGGGGTAGAAGTTGTCAAGGTAAAGTCTGCTTTATGTGCTCCTTGAGATGCTGGCTTGGGGTCAGTGTCTTTGTGAAAGTGCACTAGTCACATTTTACTTGCCAAAGGCATGCAAACTTGTCTTTCAGCAACAGCTCCTAAGCTCTTTAAGAATATGTGTCGTTCTTGCTAACACAGATTAATATTTTTTGCTACTAATGAGACTGGGTGCCATGGAGGCTGGGTTTTAGAGGTTTAAATCTGTAAGATTTGCACTCAATAGATAGTGATGGTGAACCTTTTTTGAGTTTTCTGTGATACAGCCCAATGCAGCATACATGCCATAGGTTTGCCACCGCTAAGATAGAACATGACTTGCTGTGTGACACTGAGCAAATCCCCCTACCTCTCCCAGCCTCCATTTCACTTAGGGAGATGGTGAAAAAAAATCTGGAGGTGAAGATCAACTATTTGATGCAGTATAAGGATCTTGGAAAGTGAGTGGGCTACTGCAATATCCACCAGTTCCTGGCAGATGACAAACATCTGGTAACCCTAAGTATTAGCTACTAAGATTCAGCCAGTTCTTAGAGTGTGGCTATTGTGGAGGCAGGGCTGTATGAACAGGATGGGGTGGTTACCTTTCAAGTGACCTTTCAAGGAGATCTTCCCTGATTTACCATGCTGTACTTTGAGAGGGGAAGGGACTGTTCAAGAGTGTAATGATATCATAATTCTCTTTGTTAGAGTATAAAAGGTTGTGTCGGGACAGCCTGATGCCCAAGGAGGTGTGTGAGGGATACATGTAGTCCATCATCAGACTGGGGCCTCATGCTTCCCAAGCAGGCACTATGCTGCTGAGCCATATCTCTGGTGATTCCACACCTCCTTCATGCTGTTGCCTGTCACAGATTATATATGGTGTGTCCCAGGAACTTCCAGAACAACCCGATGTGGGGTCCTAACCTCCAAAAGCATCAGCAGGCATTCATCAGGGCAGCTCTTCTTTTCTCAGCGGCGGATAGAGTGGGGGTGAGTGTTATAGGGATGTAAATCACTGTCTGACTTCAGGAGGCTTGGCCTAAAGTCAGAAATGGAAAGTAAACAGGCTTATCAAACTGGTGGGCAATGTGTTAACATGATTTATTGACCCAGTGAGGAGCCAGTGCAAGACCTAGGGATACTATGCAGCAGGACTTTTTGGAGGAGCAATGCTGGAACCTAGACTTAAAGGAGAAGGCAGAATTAGTGAAGAAGGGTATTTCAGACAGGGGTAGGCTGTACAGAGGCCTGGAGGCTACAGAGCATACTGTGTGGCATGAAGAGGATGGTGGAGAGAAGTTGGAAGAATGCTTGGCAAGGCGAGCTCAGGGATCCGTACACTAAAGTATGAAGATTGTGCTGGTACTAGCATGGTGTAGAGGGGTAGGCACCTGTGCGTGCCTAGGCAAGGCACGGGACCTTCTTCAACACAGACCCTGGCATCTGGCCTGCAGAGATCCCAGAGAGCCTACAAGTGGGCAGCAGGTATGTAGGCTCCTTGCTTAGGAGATATGTGGGCCCCTCAAGCTATGGCAGTGACAGTTTCTCACCTGCCAAGTCCCGTGTCTTCCCAGAAGACTCGCCTAGCATCCCCAGAGCAGTGGACAGGGCAAGCCAGTATGACTCTTACTTTAAAGATAAAAGGCATTGAAGCCCAGGAAGTCTTTGTTATACAGTGAGTGAGTGCTGGAACTAAGGAGTGTCTGTAACTCAGAACCAGGTACAGGGATAGGGGAACAGCAAATGTCAGCTGATGGGGAGCCCTTGTACAGGTGGACTCCCCAGATGAAGCTGTGGAAGCCCTGACTTTGCTGTCTGAGCTCTAGTGGTTGGCCTGTGTGTCCAAGCTGTGTGACTGTTTCTCCTTTCTTTTTTTGCTTATTGATAGTATTTCTCCAGAGGCAAAAACATTTGAACTGTGATGGTCACGCCCACAAAGATGACATCTAATGTCACACACAGAACTGGACATGAAGTAGGAGAGCAAAGAGTATCTCAGGCCTAGAAGGATTTTGGAAGGTCACACCTGTGAGAGGTTGAGTCCCTTTCCAGGTATCCACTATGCCTGTGTCTAGTCTGACTGACCATCTTCTAGCCCCCTCTCCCACCTTTGGCCATCTTTACCTCTTAAAGCTACTTCTGATAATGTGGCAGGATCTTCTTAACCCTCACCTTCCCTTCTTCACTCTGGGACCACATGCATGTGACCGTCTTCTAGGTATTTGAGGACAATAGCCCTGCTTTTTCTGAACTATCTTCTCTTCCATCACACTAGGCACAATTTAATGGTACATACTTCTGTCGCTTCATTTGTGACAAGTCTGTCACAGATATCCTAGTCACTCTTGTTAAGCAATTCCAGGCTTCCTTGGTCAGTTCCATGTGGCTGCCATGGTGTCCAGTCAACAGAGGCGGTATATCACTGTATTCTGTACCTTACTGTGAGCTTTTTTGGGGGGACAAATTGCTAGCCCAGTGCCCCAGGCATGACATTCTCACTACAAATATAAATGTTTGCTGTATGGGACGGGATGGATTCGAGGCATCTCTTTGGATTATTCCCTTCTTTTTCTTTCTTTTTTGTTTGTTTTTGTTATTGCTGTTTAGAGACAGGATCTCACTTATAGCACAGGCTGACCGCGAACTCGCAGCTGTCCCCCTGCCTCTGCTTCTTCATAGGTGCTAGGATTGCAGGTGTGTACCACCACACCCAGCTGTCCCCTTCTCATCAGGCTCCAATTTGACCACATCCCTTGCTCTGGAATCACCCACAGCACCATAATATCATCTAAAGTTCAGTGGGGGCAGCCCCTCCCTGTCCCTCTGCCTACCTTCACCTTGCAATGTCTGAGATGTCTGGTCAGCCAGAGTCACTAAGGTATTTCTTCCACAGCTGTCTTACATGGGTTCCCAAATCTGGAATCTTGGTGTAAGATCTGAGGCAGAGGCCATTCCCTTCCTGTGTGTTTGTCCCATGGGCCTTCTTGGCACAGAAGCCAGTAGCATCGCCTGTGCTGACCTGAGCTGAACTCGAGGTTTTCCCTGTTCAGTTCTGCGCTGCTCCTTTCATCTTGTCTCTCGGCTGGTCTGGGTTCTTGGCTCCTGCTTCTATCACCCAGTATAAGCACCTGTCTCTCCAGACACAGTGAATGAGCCTGTTAATACCATCTTTCTATTCTGAGTTCCACTTGGTCATTCAGAATGATGAAAGAGACCAGCAATCTAAGTGCACGAGGCCAGTAGTATCTGGCTTTGACTGGGCATGGAGCCTGTGATAGCTTCTGAAAAGCTAGGCTTTCATGACCTGTCACTAGTTTGACGTCTGCCCTCCACAAATGAGGGTAGTTTTTTATTCTCTTTTCTTAAGTATTGCTTCCCATGCTGGGCTCCTGGGGCCTCAGGCTTTGGATATGTAGCAGCAAGGCTGACATGCTTGGTGGGGCCAGTATTTGAAAAGCTGCATCATGCATTCTTCACTCCCAGGTCCTCATGAGGCCAGGTGGGCTGTACATGTCCAGTTGGACTGGAGCCATGGCTGTTCTGTAAATCTGACCATCTGTTCTGTTTTGGTTTTTTTTTGAGACAGGGTCTCACTGTGTAGTTGAGACTGCCCTGGAACTCACTATGTAGCCCAGGCTGGTCTTGACCTCCCAGCATTTCTCCTTCCTCAGCCTCCCAAGTGCACAACCACGCCTGGCTCAAATCTGACCATCTTATTGATACCCCCTGCTGGTGGTTATAGCATTGATATACAGTGAGAAAGTCATGATTGGGAGATGGTTTGATTCAAAGCTTAGACTATTGGAAGTGAAAGTGATAAGGTATCCTAGGAAATAGAGCAGATGCTACAGGTGGATCTCTGAGGATATCCAAGATGTTTGTGGCAGATTCCAGCACAGAATGGGTGAGAGATGAATGTGGCCCCTTGAGTTGCTTACTGAACACATTCTAGATTGTAGTGGAAATATTGTGAGGAGTCTTACCTGGTGCTAGAGGAAGAAGTGGGATTCAGCTACAGGTTGGTGCTTTCCTTGAATGCCTAGAGCTGGTAGTCTCCAGGCTGGGGAACCTAAAAGCTCAATCTGGAGGGATCAGAAAACACCCCCATACTCAGAGCCAGACTAGGGTTGCTGCTCTGCTGCCTGAGTGCATTTGCCTTTCTGATTCTTTTGTTGTGTACTGAGAGGCTGAATTTGTTTAGTACCCTCAAAATACCATGTGGAGATTTTTTTTTTTTTTTTGGAGACAGGGTCTCACTGCATTTCAGGCTGGCCTTGAACTCATGACAGTCCTCCTGCTTCAGCTTCACAAGTACTGGGATTACAGGAGTAAGCCACCAAGCCCAGCTCTATGTGGAGATTATTTATTTATTTTTATGTATTTTTTTTTGGTACCGGGGATCGAATTCAGGTCCTTGTGCCTACAAGGCAGGCGGTGGAACCACTGAGCTAAATCCCCAGCTATGTGGAGATGGATGCGTTGAGAGTTCACTTCAAGGACTTGGAATGGGTGGGAGTCCCCAGAGCCTTCCCTAGACCTCCTTGGAAATCCCCAGAACCTAGTTTGAAAATCACTGGAATTACTATAGTAGCTCCTAGGGCCCCTCAAGCTCTAGAATTTAGAGGCCTACATCCTTTTCAGACTCAACATCCCATCATCCAACTTGTGGCCTGGCCCAAGTGGGGCCTTACTTTATAGGCTGTGGTGAGATTCAGCCAAGCTGGAGTAGTCCTAGGTGATTGGAAACCCATATCAAGGGTTCCTAGCTAGAGGGTCAGGAGTATCTGGGTTCATGTGTCTGGAGATTAGGGCCCAAAGAAACAAAGTAAGCAGGAGTGGTCATAGGCCAGACGCTGCCTTTTTTGCCGTGTGGTGGGGCTCT